TTTAGTGAGGTTTTTATGCTGTTGAAACACTAAGTTCCTCCTCTCTGGATTTATGTATTTTATAAAATTTTGTTCAATTAAATATATTAAATTTTAAAGGGAATATCATGAAGTGGAATGACAATCCATTAAATGAAAGGTGATTTATTAATCCTTATTAAATAATGTATTTTTATATATGTTAAAAAAATTAAGAGAAACATTTTAAGAAATCTGTGCTTCTGCTGTAGAACTTATAGATTTAATTGGCCATATATGAGTGGTTTGAACGTGGAATATGATATCTGGACATACTGTTAATGCTTATTTTCTAAAGTTTCTAATTTGCATTTATGCCTTAAGACCTAATTCTGTCTTACACAGGTGGGACCACATATTTTATTAGATAATATGTTTTAGTTATATTTTATATTCAGGGCTGATAGATTGTGGTTTTGTTTGTGATTTTCACTAGAAAGTGAAAAATGACTTCAGGTTTTTGTATGTTTCATTAGAGCACAATAACAGTGAGCTGAATCTGACAAATGTACATCAGTAATAGTGAGTTCAGTGGATGTGTGTGATGCAGCCATATGAAACTGATCATCAGAATCTCTGTTAGATACAATTACATCATGTCAGATCTGTGAACACTGAGTCCCTCCTCTCTGAGCCATTTTATTCACACCTGGGTAACAAAAAAAGAGCCAATTAAACACATTAATGTACTTCCATTTCATGAATTTGAATTGTAACCACAGTTCACAATTTCAATTGGAATGAAAATCCATAAAATTTGAGGTGGTTTATTATTTTTTAAGAATTAAAAATATAATTATATTTGAAGACAAAACAGTTTAAGAAAGAAAAATATGGACAAAGCTGATGCACTGACTGAGCCACATATGTATAATGACGCTCTAAATGTAAGTTTGGGAGCCTGATCGTTCTGTCCTGTCAATCATCACACAACTGTATATAAGCAGTCATTTAGTCTGTTTACTACTGAATTCTGTTTACCATAAATGCTGTTTACACAGTTTACGACTTTGAATGACTAAAAAATGGCTGGGACATTCTTTAGTTATGTCTTTTAGTTCTTAAGTTTAGTTGCACTTATAATAAATAACACAATAAGAATACTTTGCTGTGAGAGAGATTTGTTCCCGAGCGAGATCTCATCATCCACATATCAGCAAATGATAATGAGCTCCCTCTGCTGGGTCCCTATAGCTGCATATTGCATAATGACAATATATTTATATCTGTCTTAAATTTTCCTCAGCAGCAGATCAGTCAGTTTTTATTCTTAAAAGTCAGAATGTTTTTATGCTTAAGCTAACAAATTCATTTCTGTGGTAGATTAAATATCACTTGTCAATAATAACATTCTAACCACATTTTAAAAGTTATAGTTTGACATCTCCAGTATAAACTAACAGAGAAATAATTCAAAAATAACAACAAATAAAAAGTGGATGGTTGAGCAACCAGTTAAGATGAAATAATCCATTCATTTACATTTAGAAAAAGCTACAACCGTCAGAACTGAGTGAATGATGAAGGTTCTTGTGTGAGTGCTGAGTGTGTTTCAGTCACTGTGGGCCTCAGAGCACAGTAGTACACAGCAGAGTCAGACACACGCAGATTCTTGATTGTCAGTGGAACTGATTTTGAAGATGTGTCGATATGTGCATTAAATCGGTCTTTGAACTCTTTGTCTTCATCTCCAGTCTTACCAACTCTGTTCAGCATATATTTAGGGACTCTGTTTACTTTTTGCTGATACCAAAAGAGAGTCGGGGAGTACGAAGTTTGATATGTACAGTTGATTATTACAGTTCCACCTTCATAAGCAGTCTGAACTCCTGTTTTCTGCTCAACGCTGTCCTGTGATTCTATTCCTGCAGAACCAAATCATGAAGAACATCAGCAAAGAAATATCATAAACATTCACAATTATTTTATATATTGCAAAGAGTTTATATTTAAGAATATAAAAAGAATACAAAAATGTTGCTTACCCCAGACATATATGAAAACAATGATAGTTTGTTTTATCCAGTCTGTCATCTTTCTTGCTTTAAAAATTAAGTCTAGTCTAAATCCAGATCTTATTCTCACCTCTGATCTAGTCTGTGATAGAGTGAGTGTATATACTCTAGTGAGCAAGAGCACTTGATCTACACTACAGAGTTTGTTTGAAGAGGTTCCTTTGACTCCTCCCTCTGGCACATCCAGAAACTTCTGAAATCCAAGTTCATGACCAAAGAAATACATGAAAATGCAAAACAAATCCAGCACAACGTTCATCATAGTTTATTTCCAATTTTGTTGTAGTGGATAAAGGAACAAGTACTTGTTTGTGCTCATAATGAATTTTCATATTTTTTTCCAACTAATTAAGGTGCTTTAAGACTATGTGTATAAAATTAACCACACAAGTGTCTTAAAGTTTCAGGCCTCAACATAGGTGTTATTACATATTTATTATATTCAGGGCTGGATAGATAGTGGTTGTGATTGTGATATATAATATAAGTGAAAAGAGATTCCGGTTTTTGCACTACATTCTTCATGTTTTGTATCACTGGGCTCCTACTCTTAGAGCACAGTAATATAAAGCTGAATCTGACAGATGTACATCAGTAATAGTGAGTTCAGTGGATGTACGTGATGCAGTCGACTGAAACCGAGGATCAGAGCTGTCTGCATCACTCGCCGACCGTACATTTTTGCATAATATGAACTGTGGATCTCTGTTGTGATACTGTCTGTACCATTAAAGATAAACATAATCACTACTTGTACTAGGTCTATGTGAGCAGCTCAGCTTGACATTTTCTCCTTCTTGAGAGTTTTTTTCTGTCCCTTTATCTGACTCAATGCTGTCTCCAGCCGCCAAACCTGTCAACAATAAGCACAAATAAACTGACTTTTGATTTGTGAAAGCAAGGCTGACAAAGTACTATGTCAAATATCTTCCACAGCACTTTTACAGAAATATATAAAATATTAGTACATTTGTGGTTTGATGTTTTAAAATTATTTTTATATAATTATTTAAAAAAAACAATGTAATTATATAACAGTGCGCCTGTTCCCACAATGAGAATCAGTATGAAGCATCTGTCCATGTTCAATCAGATCAGCTCAGTTCTCTGTTGAGGCTCTCAGTTCTCTGAGCTGTAAGTCACTGCAGAACAGTCACAAACACACACAAGAACTTCATCCTCTGAATTTTCACTTTCATCTATATGCTGTATTATTTGAGTTAATTTAATTGTGTTTGATAACTAATTTTCCCACCATTTTGACTGTTCAAAAGTACCCGAATAAAACTTAAAGTTCTGAATCTGTTTTATATATTACTGATCTTCTTCAGTTTCAGTCACATGTTTGTCTGGTTGATCAACCATATCCTCTGATCTTCATTCAGTAAAGGTTTTAGAATATTAAATGTAAAACGATGCAAACAATTGAAAATGCAGGTATATTAAATGCATACCAATAGTGTGAAAATAAAAATATCCCTCAGCCTGTGTCACATGACTGTGTCTTGAATACACCTTCAAGATAAATCAGTGAATGGGAGAGCTGATGTTTTCTCAAAGGTAATATAGTACCTATACTGCCCTCTTATGGTTATTTGGAATTTGTGCTCAGCATTTAACCCATCAAAGTGCACACACACAGCAGTGAGTTGTGAACACTAGGGTTGTAACGATATACCGGTATGACGGTTTATCACGGTTCGAACGAGCACGGTTATCATACCGTAAACATTTGCATATCTACGGTTTTTGAAAAAAAATGAATGAGAAAAAATCTCACCCACGCACATGCAACTTATTTCCGCTCGGCACTCTGCATTCACTTGGCTGCTTAACGTTACACTCACGTGCAGCGGAGAAAATGACAGAGAGATAATATCTCATTTCCATCCCCTCCGAAAAAAAAGTTAATATCTGCAGTATGGGAATACTTCGGATATTTAAAAAAACGAATGCGGGGTTGTCCTTGAGTACAGATCAAATTTGCAAAAAAATGTGGAAGCAAAGTGACTGCAAAAGCAGGCAATACATCCAACATCTTCGCTCATATTCGCGGACACCATCCCTCCGTGCAAATAAAGGTATGTCGCATTAATAACAAGTTATAAGTTAAGGCCGTATGATTTCCGTGAAGCAGAGGGAATGGAATTTACAGTATAACGAGGATGTCAAGTAATCGGATGGATGGATAAATCGAAAGTAGTTATGATATGTGTCTGTGAATATTAAAGCGCAAAGAGACTGCTATATGAATAATCTGCTTGTTTCTGCATGTCTATGAGTGGCGCCGTTTTATCTACTGCATACTGAAGTACGCATACATAAATTATGTTTTCAGCGTCTGAGATACATAAACATGAACATCAGCAGAGCTGCTCTGAGAGAAAACGTAAATAAACATTTCCTAGTTTTATTTGAGAAAAACCATTGTCAAATACACTCTGAAACTCAAAGGTCAGCTACAACCCGTCAAAATAAACATTCAATTTAATTTGAAATTATGACAGATGTTCTTCAAAGTTATAATAACAACAATAATAATATTCTTTATAATAAAATAATTTATTTAAACATTGTTTTCCAGGAATATCATGTTTGTCCATGTTTTAACTTTGCCAAAAATAAAAGGAGTTGTAAATTTTCATTTAAATTTCATTTTAAAACATTAATTAAAATGTTAAAGTGTGATATAGATATACATAAGGTGTACAGCTTTATTATATATATTTTTTTTATTAATTTATTAATTAATTTATTTATTCAGAAGGGAGACTTCAATACTTTCATTAAAATGGTTTCAAGTTTGTTGTAATAAAGGATTTGTTCACTCAAATAACTTGCTCTTGTTCTTTTAAAGGGGTCATATGATGCTGCTAAAAAGAACATTATTTGGTGTATTTGGTGTAATGAAATGTGTTTATGCGGTTTAAAGTAAAAAAAAAACATGATAACCCAGAATACACATACCGGTTGAGGCACAGAACAGAATAACTGAATGAAGATTCATTGTACAAGTGTTCACTCTGAGAAGAGTCAGCCTGAATCATTTCAACCACACTGTCTCTGAGACATAATTAGATCATGTCTGATGTAAGTCCCTCCTCTTATTAAACTTCAAGACATAAGAGAAGCTTTATTTTGAATGAATAGTTTTTTTTTCTGGGCCTGGCTCATTACTGCTACCATTATGTGAATCCATTATTGTTAAGATTAATTCTAAGTAATAATATTGTAAGTGGGTGCATAGTAGATTTTGTACACAAGTTAAAATTAACTTTAGCCATACTTTGGTGCCAGTCAGTCTGTCACAGTAAGACTTAAAAAACAAAACTACTTGAAACACATATTCATGGGGAAGCTTTAGGTTTTTTTGCAAATGTAACATAAATGAAGTGTTGCACACCTGTAGTACATTTTTTACACACAGTTGCACCCCTAAAACTTTTTAAGCATTTTATCTTTATGAAAAGCTTTTTTTTTTTGCCCTTTTTTCCTTTCATAAAACATTTTTCCTATCAACCTTACACAGGTGTTTGCAGTTATTATCTCACAATGAGGTTTTGATTTGGTTTTCATAGTAAGAGCTTCAAAAAATGCTTTATAGTTTTTATACGACTTGTTTCATATTTTGTATCACTGGGCTTCAACTCTTAACGCGCAGTAATAGAGAGCTGAATCTGACACAGTCACACTGCTAGAAATGAGTTCAGTCAACATGCGAGAAGTGCTTGACTGGAATCGAGGATCAGAGCTGTGCTTAGCACTGTTTGATCGTGCTCCTTCACGTAATAAATATTGAGGTTCTCCATTAGGATATTGTCTGTACCAGTACAGTCGTACATTTTCACTGTCTGAATCATATGAGCAGCTCAGCGTTACAGACTCTCCTTCTGTTTTGATGATTCTCGTCCCTTTATTTGGCTCAATTTTGTTCACAGCTGTCACATCTGGAAACATTAAGCACAATATTAACTAACTTTGTCTTAGGTTAAATGTTGTATATTAGTAAAGACATCTTTACAAATTTAAAATTGTGTTGATAGAAAAATCTATAAAAATACATCCAGTGTTTTATAGGGTTTTAAAATCATAAATGATGCACCTGATGCCATAATGAAAAGCAGCAGCATGTATTTGTTCATGGTGAATATGATCAGATCAGTTGTGTGTTAATTCTCTCAGTGCTCTGTGCTCTGACTGTGTGTTACTGAAGCTTTCTGCTGTTCAAGACATTTAGGAAATTCCTGCTCTATGTAAGTGTGAAACCAAAGCTTTGAACCTTAAATAATAGTGTTTAACAGAATGATATATGAAAAAAATTACACCAAAAATCTCCATGCCTTTTGGTCACTTTTCACACGATATTAAAAAATGTAGTATACATTTTTACAAATTCTGTAATTGCGGTTCCAAGTGAATGTCTGAGAACACTGCTACCTTGTGGCACATTATACCTGCACAATCTGTTACACATGGTAATAGATTGAAACTTTAACTGCTGGCTACTTTTGTATGATTTTAATTAGCAATATTAGGAGAGACGAAAGAAAGAAAGACATGAACATCTTGCATGACATGGGGGTGAGTAAATTATAAGGATTTTTTTATTCTGGAAGTGAACTAATCTTTTAAACTCAAACTTTAACTGTAAAATCAGTTTTATATCCACATATTCATTTCTACATGACTGACTGTACATGATCCCTTAAATAGATTGACTGGACTGGGTAAACAAGGTCCTCCTGAACATTTGTTGTGTCCACCAGTTTACTAAAGCATGTTGTCACATTTGTGTAATACAGATGCAATACTGTGAATCAGGTTTTTGTACAGTGTTCTTGTGTTTCCTGTTTTATAACATGCCTAATTTCACCTCTCACAGGTGTGACCACATATTTTATTACATTCAGGTCTGGATAGATTGGGGTTTTGATTGTGATTTTCACTAGATTGGTTCAAAGTGAAAAGAGCTTCAGGTTTTTGTATGGCATTCTTCATGTTTTGTATCACTGGGCTGCTACTCTTAGAGCACAATAATAGAGAGCTGAATCTGACAGACGTACATCAGTAATAGTGAGTTCAGTGGATGTACGTGATGTAATCGACTGAAATCGAAGATCAGAGCTGTCTGCATTACTATATGATCGTGCACCTTTACGTAATAAATACTCAGGTTCTATGTTGGCATACTGTCTGTACCAGTACAGATAAACATATTCACTGTTTGTACTATATGAGTAGCTCAGCTTGACAGTTTCTGTTTCTTTAGACATTTTTTCTGTCCCTTTATCAGGCTCAATGTCATCTCCAGTCACCAAACCTGTCAACAAAAAGCACAAATTAGCTGATCTTTTATTTGTGAAAGCAGCGTTTACGAAATAATAACGCTAACATTTTTCACAGCACTTAAAAAAAATAATAATAATAAAATAAAAAACATAAAACATGATTATTTCAATTAAAAAAATCATAAAACATGAGTATTTAAATACACTGTTTCAGTTGTTTTCACTCCATAAATAATGTACCTGTTCCCACAATGAGAATCAGTATGAAGCATCTGTCCATGTTCAATCAGATCAGCTCAGTTCTCTGTTGAGGCTCTCAGTGCTCTGAGCTGTAAGTCACTGCAGATCAGTCACAAACACACACAGGAACTTCCTGCTTTAATTACTCTATGACATTGTCTTGCACTCTTGTTTTAGTGGGTGGGGAAAGTGAATGAACAGTGCTCTCTGGCAATATCCATGACTGAGTTGCCCTTGAGCAAGGCACCGCACCCCCAATTACTCCCCGGGCGCTGCAGCAATGGCTGCCCACTGCTCCGGGTGGGTGTTCAGTGTGTGTTCACTACTCACTGCTGTGTGTGTGCACTTGGATGGGTTAAATGCAGAGCACAAATTCCAAGTGTGCATACTTACCATACTTGGCCACATGTCACGTCACTTCACTTCGTCACTCATTTCATCTTATTTCTCATGAACATGGAAACATAACTGAAGGAAATGTGCACAATATTTACTTTCTAATTAAACAATCTATATTTTTATATAACAACAATTTGGAACTAGCAGGAGCTCCATGTGAATGTGTGCACCATTTATTACACAGATGATAAGCATTTAAGATATTTTTACGTTTGCTACATTTGACAGATTTGTTTTATTTGTAAGACAGTATTGTAGGAATTCAATGTACTTCATATTTAAATTGGTAAAGATTCGCTCACTTTAGATCATTGCTTTTTCTGTTGTTTTTCCAATAGACTAATTAAATGGTTTGTCTACCTCTTGATTTAAATGGCTACCCATGATTTTAGTCACTGTTTTCGTTATTTCACCAACAAACATTCTTGGTTTAAAAAAAATAATCCAGAGCTCAAAATAACTAAATACTAAGCTTTTAATGGTCTTAACTACAAATTACTGGTGAGGAAATTTGAAAGAATTAAGCAAAGCTCCTTAACAAGTCATTGCTTTCTTAGAAAAACATCAAAGATAGAATGAAGGTTTTGGCAGAATATAGAAAGTTTGATTCAGAGTGGTTCAGCAGAGTTGTGTGGAGTTATAAATCATGATAAAAATACAAGCTGTAAAATGGTGATGCGGCAGAGCAGTGTTTTTGAAGATTTGGAAAGAAATACAATAACTAATAATGAATGAATCTCTACCACAGTGAAGCAAGATGTGGGGAGCCTTTCAGCTGCTGGTACTGGTACTGGTTTCACTGTGAAAAGTCAATGTTTTGGAGTATAAGAGAATATTGCAGAATGGCTTGCTTTCTACAATTGAAAAGTTGTTATCTAAAGAGGAATGATCAGATGTTTTTTTTTCAAGAAGAAAATGCTCTTGCCCACACTGTGTAGACAACTATGATGTGACTTGAAAATAGTCCATCAGGCTCATGTTTTGGCCTGATCAGAATACAGATTAGAACCTATTAAAAGGCTTTTCACACTGCACTTATCGTCATTCAATACACCACTTTTAACCCCAGGTAAAGGAACGTTTCACATATGTAATTTATAGAAGCGTGGTTAGCACCACTTTTTACCCGAGGTTATGAAACCCTGTTCTGGAGCATGGTTAAGCACTGCTTTTGTAAAACGAAGGGTGTTAGAATATTACTGCTGGATGCTTAGCAACAGACAACCAATCAGAAATTGAACAGTGTGGCTCATGTCAGATCTGTAACAGGAACTGCAGCTTGTATAAACAGTACAGCATTTGACGGAAAAATAAATGTCAAATGACAGAAAAAGTGTCAATGTCCATTTCTGCCTCAGGAGGCTTAAAACAGGCAAGGAGGACCTCTGTGGCGACATTATTTAACTGACAGGATAACAGATGCCAGAAAAGTCATGTAAGCAGGTTCGTCCAATCAGTGACACTGACACCGCAAATATGCAAATAAGGACTCAGGAATGTGCACTGTGAAACTGCAGTTTATAAATACCCAGGATTAACTTTTAACCCTGGGTAAAGTATAAGCAGTGTGAAACATAAAGCAAGATAACCCAGGACTCCGTTTACCTGGGGTTTAGAATGACCCAGGGTTCATTATTTCAAGTGTGAAAAGCCCAAAAGAGTATCTGGTCTCACATTAAACTCCAACTAACTGAGATACTTTTTTCAACTACTCATGTTTGAAGCCATCAGTATTGAGTGGAACAACACTGACTCTTTTCCCTGTGAAAAACTGTCTGCAAGTTTACCCACACAGCTTAAACATTTAAAGAAAATATAAGGGAAAGGCTATCCTGTATTAAGTTACTTCATATACACTATTTGTGCAGTTCTTGCTAATTTCGTGACCAGTGATTTGTGGTTAAAATAGTAAAATGTGGTTTAAGCACGTTAAACTGTCTTGACTGCAGTTCAGCTCATGTGTTTTTGTATGTGGTTTGACTTGAGTTTTCTCACTGTGGGCTTCAGAACACAGTAGTACACCGCAGAGTCAGACACACGCAGATTCTTGATTGTCAGTGGAACTGAATTTGATGACACTTCAGAGTGAAATCTCTCCTGGAACTGAACATCGTTTTCTCCTCCATATTTGTTTCTCCTCAGGATGTATTTAGGAAAGTCGTTTGCTCTCTGGATGTACCAGAATAGTTCTTCTTGTACTGAGACTGTTTTATATTTACACTTTAATTCTACTGATCTTCCTTCAGCTTCAGTCACATGTTGTTCTGTCTGATCAACTGTGTCCTCTGATCTGCACTCTGTAAATGTTTAAGGATATTTAATGTACAATACAGTACAACATATAATCAACTTACATCAATACAGTTGTATTAAATGAAACTTCATACCAAAAATGAATAGTGCAAAGAGAAATAATATATTCCTCAACTTGTGTGACATGACTGTGTCTATGCTGAATACACCTTGAAGTCTAGAAAAATCAGTGAATATGAGAGTTTTGCTTTTGGTATTATAATAATGATCCAAGGAGGAGCTTGTGGAGACCTATAAAAGCTGCTGTATTATCAAATGTAATATTGAGCACCTACTGCCCTCTTCTGGTTAACTACAAGTATATTGCATAAGTGGCATCTCAAGTACAAATCAAATTTATTATCATTCTGCTAGCTATATGTTACTACAAAGGAATTAAATGTTGTGCCTCACAGGACCACGGTGCTAGATATATAAACATATATAAACCTATACATAGCTAAACTATTGAAAGAAGTAATCTAACTATACGTACACTTAACATATACTTTAAATGCATACAATATATACAGAACAACACTGTGCAATGGTATAAAAAGGACAGTACAAAAAGACACATTTAGGGCAAACAGTGCAAATGGAGAGTGTTCAAGACATAATAGACAGACTGTATTGTATGTACATGTAAACGTGTTTCAGGTTAGACTTAGTTGCAGCGAGTATGCTACTCGTATCTTTTAATGTAATAAAAGATCTGCACTATTTAATTTTTGGTTCGTCTATTAGTTTATGTATAAGCCAAATTTGTCTATGAAGTGACTCATCATTCATAAGCATAAAAATATAATGCAAATGTGAAGAATATTTTGGGCCAGATATAAAAAAAACAGGGCAATCCCATAAAAGCACAGATGGGTGTGGAAAGTTCAGCGAGTGATCTACTGACAGCAGTGCAAATTAGCAGCTATCGTAGCCATGTTGAGCGCAAAATGGGTTAAGGCGTGCTTTTTGGGGGACTTAAATAATGGTTCAAATACCAGTAAATTGACAAGCGCAAACCTTAGTAAAAAAAAAAGTATATTATTTTAGCTGCATGAACAATAGCAAATCACCTGAAACCAACAGTAGGGGGAAATTAATACAAAATTAAATGCAACTAAACTGTAAAATTAGATAATGTAAACTGAATGTAAACTTTGTGAAAGTGAAAGAAACCTACTAAAATAGAATATATTTATGGATGAAAGGGGTTTTATACATGAAATCATAGACTAAGGAAAACAAATTTAATTGCATGATGTAATGTATGCTGTTGCATTGTTGGAGTTCTTGTATGAGTGTTGAGTGTGTTTCAGTCACGGTGGGCTGCAGAGCACAGTAGTACACAGCAGAGTCAGACACACGCACATCCTGGATTGTCAGTGGAACTGAAGTTTTGCTGAGATTCGCATGAAATCTCTTCTTGAATTCTTCCTCACTGTTTCCAGATTTAGAAAATTTATTTAGCATGTACTTGGGGATTCCACTGACTTTCTGCTGGTACCAGAAGAGAGTCGGGTTTGTGAAAGCAGTCTGATATGTACAGTCGATCGTTACAGTAGCACCTTCAAAAGCAGATTGAATCCTTGTATGCTGATCAACTTTGTCTTGGGAATTACATCCTGAAATTGAATGAAAATATTACTATTAAAAAAGAAAGCAAAAAATATGCACGTACACACATAATGAAAATTAATTTTAAATATATTTGAAAATAATCATTGTTTGATATTGCTACTCACCCCAGATATACAAAACTACGATCACAATGGCACTTTTCCACAGTGCCATTATATACAATTGAAATCACCAACTCTTGAAAAATGTCCAGAGATGTTGTGATCCTCTTCCTCTTTCTGCATCTGTTAAAGCAGCGATACATTCAAATCACTTGGTCTGACTGCTGGGAGGAGCCTGTGCTACAGTGAGTGTCAGTGAAGACTGTAATATTGTGTATGTGTAAAACCATATCAACTAATTATGTCTATATGTACAACGATTAATCTTAGAATGTACATGCAGTATGCATCCACTCATTTGATTAGCTTATATCACTTAATTCACTGAAGCACACTATACAGTCTCTTATTACACTTCTCTGAATTATTTGACTGGTTGGTCAAACATTGCATTCAGCACCAGTCTTATATTTCCTAATATTTACCATCATCCATAGCAATGCTGTATAGTCCGATTGGTCTGCTCATCACAGTAACTGAAACCAGAGCAGACTCTCTAGTTTGAAATAGTTTCTAAGTAAAATTATAAAATAAACTCAACTCAAACTTTAACAAAACAAATGTGTTACATTTAAGGGGAGACACTGCAGGCAAAAACACAGTTTTTTCA